CCGAGGTAATTAATATGTGATTATTTGATAAATGATTATGTGATAGCATGATAAATTGTTATATTAATCATGCTAGTATGTGAAACTACATGCATAATGAAGTACGTGCATAGGTATATATGTATGTGTGGATATGTATGTATGTATAGGAGTTATATATGTGCATGTGTGCATAAGTGTATCTATAGCTATTTGATGACATGAATGCATACATACATGCATGAGAGGAGGGCGGCTTAGCCGCCATACTTCTTTTGGAAAGTATATAAGGAGGGTCTTAGCCTCCATTACATTTTTCTTGCCATTTTTTTTTTGGAAAAAGAGTGTGCGATTTAAAGTAAAGAGAGTGTGACCGGATTGTCTTGATCGGATCAGAAGTTGGATTTCAAGTGGCTGGTTTTCGAAAAGATTTCAAGGTGAGTAGTTAAATGCTTTTCAAAACACTTCAAMTTGTATGTTTAAATTGAGGTTTGAAATGGTTATTTGTYAATTGATAATCTTGATCGGATGGTGTTAAATCGGATGTGTTATCTGGACCAAGATAAACTGGATGAGTCTTAGGCGATTTACAAGTAAACCGGATGAGTCTTAGGCGATTTACATGTAAACCGAATGAGTCTTAGGCGATTTACATGTAAACCGAATGAGTCTTAGGCGATTTACATGTAAACCGGATGAATGTTAAGCGAGTTACATGTAAACTGGGCAAGGGATTAAGCGGTTTAAAAGTAAACCGGACATAGCCTCTTCCGGTTTAAGACTAATCCGATCAAAGTGTTGACCGGTTTATGTAATGAGCGATTTATGAACTTTGATCTTATGTCAAGTATGTCAAACGGAGAAGCAGGAATACAACTATGAGATGCCGGTTCATTTTAAATCAGACATGACACCCGGATTGTTAAATCGGACGATCATGAATAGTATTGTCCGGATTAGTAATCCGGACAAGGTTTTGAGAATAAAGCTAAGTGGTAAATCGGTCAAGCCATGTGAAGTGTTGTCCGAATTAGTAATCTGGCCAGGGTTTGACCRGATTACATGCTGACTTATCATTTTATTGATTCTTTTAAAGAAATGGGAATTTTGATAAAAATGATTTTGAACTGATAATATTCCATTGACTGCGATTTACTCTATATGGAATTGTTTTGTGAAATGTTTGGAAACAAGGATGACATATCAAGGAGAGGTGTACCATGGGATAAAKGTGGCATATCAAGGAGAGGTGTAYCATGGGATAAGGGTGRCATATYAAGGAGAGGTGTACCTTTGGATATAAGGGTGGCATTTGTATATGTGTTAGGTGATATAACTCTTACTATTATATCCTTTAAGATTATCATGGTCTGGAATCTTTATTTCTTTGTGATTTAAAGATTTAGGATCAGRRTTCTTATTGRAAATCATAGTCTGGATGTTATTGAGAAGAAATTAACAGGTTTGGCCTAAGACTTGGAATAAACCTTGTTTAATTAAAAAGATTTAAAAGTGGCAATATGATAATCTGGTTAGTGCAAACCTATTTGGGTTTGATGTATTGATTGCAAACAGAGAATTTGGCTTGAGAAGTRAAAGGTATTGGTATTACGTTCTTACTTGTTCATATATTTGTTATTTATATGAAGAATTATTTTACATAAAAGTTTTGRTGATTATCACCCTGTAATAACATAAAAAGGGAACTCATTAGACCTTTCGGTCTAATCCTCGTTTTGTTTTTTTAAATATGTGTTGCAGGAGTTGCAGACGGTAAGGGAAAAAGGGAAAGTATGATAATTCCTTATATGTTTATCTGCATGAAAGATTACTGATGATGTATATAGTTTTTGGTAGATAAAACTTGATAGTACGAGAATTGTATTTTGAATTTTTGGACAATGTATTCGGTAATGGTAGATTCTTGTACTAAGGGACCTATGTCGTGTATAAACGTGTATTTCTTGTGTATGAAGTATATGTTACATGCAATGTGTTGAATGGGGTGTTACATTSGTGGGCAATAGAGTCAACTAGTCGGCTCCGTACCGTACCAACGTTTAGAAGGGAATGRGTTTGTCYTTTGTGTGTATAAGGACAAGACAACAACAATCGTCTAAGCAAGCTTCCTTTGATCGCTGAATGCTGGAATAACCTGGAGGTCTTTTCAGYATTCGCTGAGGCTTGAGCAGTSTTCACACATAKGTAGACAGACTTGTAATCACTGAGTAYAGCTTCTGATCACGTACTCRCCAGTCCCTAATCTTCAKTTTCAGTCTTCGACATTAGCTGAAGGTTCTTTGGTGTGAGTGTTATCTTCTTGAAGTATCGCTGTCTCTGATTGAATTACAATACAAGTTCTTCAGCGATCACTGAACACGCTCAGTGAAGACCGCTGGAACTGAAAAGACAGAAACATAAATACAACGTATAAGTGAAAATAGATTATCATCAAATCACTGAAAGAGAGGATCAACATCTACATCTTCTCCAACTTGTTCCTTACCATTGTTGATCAATTTTAGGAGTTTTCTTAAAAACCCATTTGTAACTTCATTCTAACCTTCTAAACTTCATACATGTCAAAGTATTGCATTTTAATCTCCTAAACATCTCTTTACACATATTTCAAGCATTTATGAATTTTGACCTAATTTGAGTTTTTTTGTTGGGGGGGGGGGGGGGGGGGTTTACCTTTTTTACAAAATAGATGTTTAGACTTCATTTTGATGTTATGAAAAGTGTGTACTTGAGGCATATATAATATTTTGGGTTTGAATATCATGATTTAAGTTGTATACGAATTTTCATCCTTGAGGGCATATTACATGAAGTGGCGATATTTTAGTAAAGAAAGAGTGATGTTACTTGTGGGAAACACAATCCTTTGTATTATAGACCACTCAAATGCTAAATGTTTTAATGTTAATTATGGAAAGGAAATGTCTCATTTGAAGTTATGAAACCTTGACCTTATTTGGTTAATTTTGAATAGAAATAGTTTGATAATGCCATTCAAATGATGAAAACTATATGTTTAACTATATGTGATCACTTTTAAGTTCTGACAAATATTAGACTAATGCAAATGGATTCATAGGCATAGAAGTCGATTTAGGTATGTAAGACGGGATTGTTATTCCCATATGATAGCAAGATACGGGTATTAAATTACCGAATGACTCAAGCTAAAGATCGTTGGTGGTTGAACTTGATGACCGTGTATCTCGTAGTAATTTACTTCTTGCCAAAGAGTATTTCTTAGACATTGGAGGACTCAAATTATAGACTGTGGGTGGTTGGATTATATTATCAATGTTCCATAATAGGAGCTCTATAACGTAGATTCGTGGCCTACTTTTATGTTCCGCCACAATTAACGAAAATTGGGTCTCCCTCGTCATCATAAGATGTATTTTGGACCTTATGGTTCTTATGTGAAATATGTGAACTTTGGAATTTGTTCAAGTGTATAAAACGTTCTCTCTAATTATTACTTGCTTTATTTTATAAACCGTTTGGCCTCACTAGGCGTGAAGCCTAACACTTTTTCTTAAAATGACATGTACATTAGATTCTCATARCGGTGGGGCTCTGAAGTCTTGAGCGTAGTGATTTGATGCTGGTAAAGGCACTTTTGGGAGAAATAACTTTTATTTATTGGTGTTATATTTTGACAGGATTATTTTGGTGAAGATAGTGACTTCGTTTATAATTTGAACTTAGAATAGTTTAGATTAATAAGTTGTTATTTATCTTCTATTCCTTTGGATTGTAAACGCTTCACAATCTCCCTTCTTGGGTGATTTTATTTATATAGGTGTTTATTTTGTACCAATTTTTATGGTTTAAATTTACTCCTATTTTAGGGGTTCTACATGCGAGAATACTCTCGTCACATGTGATAATACACGTAAAGGAACCTGTGGTGTGAGGACGATGTGACCTAGGTTGTGCTAAAGGTCATTTGCATCTCTAATTTAACATCATATCAAGAATACCCTTATTACATGTAATGATACAAGTGAGGGGCGCTRGTGGTGTATAGAAAACTTGACCCGCAAACTAGGTTGCGTCAAAGGTTGTCAGACTCAATACTCTGAGTAAAAAGAGCCTCTCACGCATACTCCACTRTTATGAGTGGTGCGACCGGTACATCCATCCTCTATTGGTATTAGTCGAYATAGCTACAAATATAGCAAGGAAGAAATTGAGTAGAAAAACCAAGACAATATTAAAATGACAAACAAACATTAATTTCGACATATAAATAATGAAATTGATATACAAATCTAGATAGAAAATGTATACACAACATACTAGTGGATATATATCCAGACGAAGGAGAACACAACAAACAAGACAATGTATCTCATTAGTTTTTATCCTYTTAGGTGAAAGATTCCTTRTGCATAAGCTTCTCAATAAACYAAAAGACARCTTATCAAGTGTGGGAAGGGTAGAATTAGAGACAGAAGGAAGCATATATTTATTTCCCTCACCCTGCGCTTTGGTTCCAACCAAAGGATAAACATCACTACCCTCCACACATAACGAATCTTATTGAAGTAACCAACAAAATCCTCTTAAAAGCATTACAACCAGCGACSTTCATCCCATCTCGATAAACACCCAATACAACATATGAATTAGTGAACCTGAAACTACTGATTTAAGCCTCTAATTTAACAAACAATATGTAAAACATGAAGCTATTCTGATTTGGTCAAAAGAGGAAGGTTGTTCTGGGGAGATCATACATGTTGGTACGGGCTTCTAAAAACAACCTTATCGTAATATATTTGATTTGTGTGCTCTTAGAGTAATGAACTATTTGCCCTCTTCTTGGACGACACCATGACACACTCGTGTGCAATATTCAAGGTGAGGATTTCAGTTTTGAAATYTGAATTTACTATTCATGTCTAACTAATTCTTCATGCAATTGAGTGAAAATGAAGACTTGAAATMAGCACAAATGAGAAAAATCACGTTGTTGATTGAGAAGGTGAGTATTTGCAAAATGATATATAATGTCATTCTTTATGCAAATGGCATGCTGAAATGAGTATCCCATCTAGGCAAGAGTCGATAAAAACCATGAGGTTCTTGAGATAGGATGTGGTTGGGGAACGTTAGCTATTGAAATAGTGAAACAAACTGGATGCAAATACACTGGCATTACCTTATCTGAAGAGCAACTCAAATATGCAAAAACTAAGGTGAAGGAAGCTGGCCTACAGGACCATATCAGATTTCTTCTATGTTACTATAGGCAATTGCCTCATACTTACAAATATGATAGAATAATATTCTGGTGAGTATATCTGTCTCTAACTACAGACATTAATGGTATTGCTTAGATATGATGTAACCRTGGACTACTATTTTGCAGTGAAATGTTAGAAGCTGTTGGGCATGAGTACATGGAAGAGTTTTTTAGGTGCTGTGAATCAGTATTGGCAGATGATGGGCTTTTCGTGTTGCAGGTAACTTCTCTTCTATTGATGAATATTAGTAATATAGATTCCTTGAATAAAATAGTAGCTAACGTTACGTGGTGGAATCATTAGTTCATATCAATCCCAGATTACTTGCAGTTGTATAGACCAAAGTCAGATTCCCAATGACCAAAATTTAAAAATGAACCATCAACAAGACCTCTAACCTACAACTTTCCCATCACTCATGGAAGAAAATAGGTGAAATCGATGATAAATAACTAAAATACAATGTTTAAAGTTCAAACCTGTGTTCGATTGAAAGAAGATGGAAGCAGTTCAAGCACTCATTTTYGTCAAGCAGTTCGATCAAAGAAGTATATGGAACTCGTTTTCGTCAAGCAGTTCGATCAAAGAAGAAGAAATCATTTCTTCAATCTTTTTCGTCAATCGTAGAAAGGGAGGTCGGCTGTAGTAAGGGAAAGGGAGCGTACGTCAATTGCTTGAGAGTTGAGAGGGTATTACGGCCGTAGTAAGGGAAAGGGAGTAATGGTTTTATAATTTGGGCTCCATCTTAAAAAATTTGGGCTTTGGGCTCCATTTGAAAAAAAATTAAATTTCCGACGGAAATTTCCGTTGRAGAAAAAAATTATTAAAATAAATAAGTAAATCCGTCGAAAATCCGTCGGAACGTTTTTAAAAATTACGTTTTTCTTTAAAAATAACTTTTGCAAGGAAAAAACTTTTTTATAAAATTTCAACGGATTTTTATATTTAAAATAAAMAATTAAAGCCAATAGTATACGTTAAAATTCAATTGAACCGAATACAACCACTAATTAACATCTATGAAAACTCAATATTATCCGCTAAAACTCAATTGAACCGAATAAAACTCAATAACTCCATTAAAGCATAGTTGAACCGAGTAAAGTCCAATATATCCWTTTAAAGTCCACKAAGATACATTAAAGCCTAGTAGTACCCTTTAAATCCCAGTTGAACCGAATAAAGCACAATAATACCCGTTAAAGCTCAATTGAACCGAATAGAGCCCAATAGTACCCATTAAAGTTCAATTGAACCGAATGGAACCCAATAGTACCCGTTAAWGCCCAATTAAACTGAATAAGGCCCAATAGATTCATTAAAGCCTAATTGAACCGAATAAGGCCCAATTGTATCCGTTAATGCCCAATTGAACTGAATAAGGCCCAATAGCTCCATTAAAGCCTAGTTGAACCGAATAAGGCCCAATAGCTCCATTAAAGCCTAGTTGAACCGAATAAGGCCCAATTGTATCCGTTAATGCCCAATTGAACCGAATAAGGCCCAATAGCTCCATTAAAGCCTAGTTGAACCGAATAAGGCCCAATAGCTCCATTAAAGCCTAGTTGAACCAATAAAGTCCACTAAAATCCATTAAAACCCAATAATACCTGTAAAAGCCCAATTGAATCAAATAAAGCCCAATAGATCCATTTAAGTACACTAAGATCAATGAAAGCCCAATAGATCTATTAAAAACCAAATAGTACCCGTTAAAGCCCAATAATCCRTTAAAGTCCACTACGATCTATTAAAGCCTAGTAGTACCCTTTAAAGCTTAATTGAACCGAATAAAGCACAATAATACTCGTTAAAGCTTAATTGAACCTAATATAGCCCAATAGTACCCGTTAATGCACAATTGAACCGAATAAAGCCYAGTAGTACCCGTTAAAGCTCAATTGAACCCGTTAATACCCAATTCAATTGAATAAGACCCAATAGCTCCATTAAAGCCTAATAGATCTATTAAAGTCCACTAAGATCCATTAAAGCCTAGTAATACCCTTTAAAGCCCAATTGARCCGAATAAAACCCAATAATACCCGTTAAAGCCCAATAATATCCGTTAATGCCCAATTAAACTGAATAAGACCTATTAGCTCCATTAMAGYCTAGTTGAACCGAATAGTACCTGTTAAAGTCCACTAAGATCCATTAAATCCCAATTGAACCGAATAAAGCCCAATAGTACCCGTTAAAGCCCAATTGAATGAAATAAGACTCAATAGATCTATTAAAGCCCAATAGACTCATTAAAACTCAATTGAGCCAAATAAGGCCCAATTAGTACCCGTTAATGCCAAA